AGGTGGGACCACCAACACTGGCCACAGCAAGTGTTGATCCGGGCGCTTGAGATCCTGGACCACCACCAGGAGTAAGCTGCTGCAGAAAATACAAAGAGATACAAAGCAGGTAATCACATTAGACACGACATAAATGAAGAGAAAAGAACCTGCTGAGTTATTGCCCTTTTATTAATTTTCTGAAAAATTTAGCTTACCAATTTCACAATGAGAATGTACGGATCAAGCTACAGAAAAAAACTTTTTAGGAAGTACTAATACAAATCCTGTCATGCTTGATTATATTATGCTCAAGAAGTTCAAAAGAAGAAAAGTTACCTACCGGTCCCACTGAACCCGTTGTCATCGGACTTCGCGGCTGCTGCATTTGCATGTGTTGCTGAGATACCGATCCTAGTGAACTGCCGAGCATTGAGCCGAGCTTCAAAAAACATATGATGAGATGAAAGAATCAAAAGCTAAATTCAAGCAAGTTAGAGGACTTGCACATTGTAGCAGGACAAAAAAAAGTCGTTTGATTGATGTAAGTGAAAAATAAAGCGATTTTAATTAGTGAGAGAACTTCGGAATTCAAAACCACAGAAAAAACAACTACGCTAGAAACCATTTTTTCTTCAACCATAAAAAATAATAATCAGATAAAAAACCGCTAAAAATGAAAACACTCCTGATAAGATGGAGTTTCGGGGAAGAAAATGACCGTACCTAAAATATGCTTCATTCTTGTAGTGAACCTTACGCATGTTTCAAGATTTTTTAAAAAAGATTGTGGAAAGGCACAGCGGAGCTCCAGCCTATTTCCTCTATGAACTGATGTTCTGTATCAGAAAATTAAATTGACCTTTCAAGGAAAATTTATCCGCCAAGGATACAAGTATTTTACCATAGGGGAAAATCACAAAACTTACCCTCGCCGGTAAAGTAAGCAACAAAGAAGGATATAAAAGAAAAGAAGGAAGCTAAACAGATAAGAAGAACAGACTATAAATCCTACCTGCGTTTGTCCAGAAAGCATTGATTGTTGACCCATCGAAGGTGGTCCTTGTTGAGAAAGTTGTTGCTGTGGTTGAACTGTCTGCTGTTGTCCCATCTGCTGTTGTCCCATCTGCTGCTGTCCCATCTGTTGTTGTACCATTTGCTGTGGTTGCATTCCCATTTGTTGGCCTCCAAGTTGTTGTTGAAGGCCCATTTGCATGGGTTGTTGATGACCCATTGCCTGTTGCTGTTGTTGTTGTTGTTGAAGTTGTGGCATTTGGTTCATCTGTGGTTGACCCATTTGCATTTGTTGTTGTTGGGTAGCAAAATGCATTGGCATTTGCCCCTGTTGCTGGGGTATACCCGAATCTTGTGCATACATCTGCAAAAATACACTAGTATCGTCTAAGCATTTCTCCACAATAGGGAAATTGGGAAAAAACAATTTTCTTTTTAGATTTCTTGGAACAACCCAAATTTTGTAATGCAGCCGAAAGGTGC